AATGAGGGTCCATTGCATTCCCTTTGAAGTTCTTTGGCTCCCTTTATGGCTATATTGTGTTGTGTTCTATACATCAGCTCCCGTTATCCCATAGACACATTCAGTCCCAAAGGTGGGAGAACATTTCCAAAAAGAGTAATGCCTTTAAATGCAGGACAGGACACACTCATAGGGGAGGAAAGGCTGAAATCTCAAAAGGATTCTGTAAAGATGAGTTCTTTTTTTTTTGATGGTGAAAAAAGAATCCTATAAATCATTTCAACTGGACAGGTGAGGCAGGCTCCTTGCCTTTGAAGCTCAGGGTTGCAGATGTTTTAGGGCAAGAACATTGTTATCTTCAAAGGAGTCCTCTTCCTCTCTCTCTCTCTCTCCCTCTCTCTCCTGCTTACTCTTTCCTCTCTCACTCTCACTTTCTCTCTCTCCCTCTTTGCGCTCATTCCCTCTCACTCTGTCTCAAACAATGTGGAACATCAGAGCAGAGACAGAGCATCAAGGGGTCCTGTCAGTCACCACAAAGGGCCCTGTGGCCCAGCCTTCTGGTGATGAGAGAGACACCTGTCAATCTGACATCAGGGCCGGGGGTATGTGTTCTATATCTCTCATATGGGGCAGGGCTCAGACCATAATTCCTAAGTGATCTCTGTCAAGTTGCTACTGAAATGGGGCCTCTGAATATTGGGGCCAGTTTTTGGGAAAAAAAACCCAAATTAGTCGTATTTCACTTTTTTCTGACATTGTGTCCCTTGTCCCCTTTGCAATTAGAAGGGTCTGCCACTGTTCATTACAAAGAGGTTGACTTTCCAATGACACACAGACAGAAAGATATCATATGTGGTTATTCAAGTGGCAAGACTCAGTTCATACATATTGCATCACATCTGTTTTCTATTTTTGTCATTTGCCATTACTTTTATCTGTCAGGAGGTCCTGGCTGCTTATATCCTTTTACCTTAAATGAAAACGCATAAACAAGTAGTGCTGATGAACAGTAACACAACAGTTTAACAGGATCTTTAATAAATAAAAAACACACAGTAACATAAAACCCAATGCAATGACAAAATAGCATATGCTTTACTCCCATGGACTGACTCCCTGGGTCAGTTTGTACAGTGTCAGTTTAGAACACCAAATTTACTGAATTACTGGACTTAACGTAGGAGTGTTCCCCTACCATTTTTCAACACATTTTACAACCGCTATTACAGGATATAGGTGTTAGACAGGTAGGCAGCAGTAGGTGTTAGACAGGTAAGGGACAAAACCGTGAAACCTATATGAAACCATGAATTTGTTGAGGCTTGGAAGAATTGGACTGTGACACAAAGACAAAGAGGGAAGTTCTTGTTGGAATACATTGGAACATGTGTAATACATTTGGCTAGTCTTATCTAATTGAGACAGGCACGGAAATGAATAGAGACAGCAGCAAATAATCAGCTGGAGAGCTCTGCAGTAAAACTTTTTGAACCATTAAAACTACTTAGTCTCACACAGAGGACGTACCCAGCCCCCACAGCAAAAAGACATAAGTGATTTGTGGAAGGTGACTTTGTTGCCTTATGTGTTACTGGGTTACAGTAACTAAGTAAGACAGTAACTGGCCCCAATAATGCTGTTAAAGGACAACTTAAAACAGTAAGCCTATAGAAAGGCCCATTGCGCATTACAGTATTGCCTACAATATACTAAAATATACTCTATGACTGATTAAAATCAGTAAAAATCAACAATAAAGATAACGTTCACATGCACTCCACTTTGCAGACTAAAGTTAAAACAAAAACAGATGAAAGGTGCACTGGAGCCCAGGTTGCTATGGTATCCAATGTCACCGAAAGCAGACCAATTAACTTCGAAACCACAAACTTTGCACTTGCATGCAAGTGCTCTCCAAAAACCTTCAATTTGCTCTCTCAACAAAAAGCATCAATCGGGGGTTTATCATGACTCTTATCATGACTGTCATGCCAATTCACGCAAGGGATATGCACACCAAATCTATGAATCAAACTGCAGAGTAGCACGTTTAATCAATGGAGATGCACACTGAGGAATAACACTCAAAAATACATGCCATGATATTACCTGTGGGCAAGCTGATTCATACATTTTATTTAAACTGTCAGTGTCTTTTTGCATCTGCTAAATAATGGGCCCACAACAAATGAGTACGTCCGTATATTAGGCTTTATCAAGAAATAGCCTGAATGTGTTTGAGCCTATCTACATTGGTCTGTTTATTCTACACATGTGATCTATATGATCTATATAATCTGTGATTCTATACATTTTTCTAAAAAGTGATCCTTTTAGCTTGACTGTGTTTGTGACAATAGAGGATTATGGAGAGTTCTGTGTCTGAGGAGACTAAAATAACAATTATATCTAGTTTTACTAACATTTTAGTTGTTCAATACTGAGGGATAAAAGTTAAGCTGGCTGAGGGGCTTTGATGTTTGGATATGTGTACGTTATGTAGACTACAATGTCAACATAGTTTGAACCACAACCACATAAAGGTGTTGCACAGTTTCAAGCTTCTAGGCTTCACACTTGCAGAGATGCACCACCAAGTGTTTTGCTCACTAAAGACAGACAAACATTGCCAGCAAAATGATGTATTCACAAATGAAGAAAGGTCAAACCTGTAGTTTTCCCTCTCAAAGCCATGTGATACTTGATGACTTTACCTGATAGATTTACTGGCTTGGTACTTGCAGTGTGGAAATGATCAGCTATGGGGCGCACTGAAATTTTTAGTAAATCTGACATGGGGGTGATAAAATCTCTGCAGCCAGGCACAAGCGTAACAGGACATTAGGTAGTTGCACAGGAGAACAGGGAGAAGGCTTCTCTAGTACAATGATCATGCATGGCATTCCTCATCTGAATTTTTCAGTTTGAGGCAATCGTGATTGTTTCAGCCAACGCTTCCCTGACCTGGATGAAATAAGGTCAACTTCTGTTTTTATCAGAGTCAGTGAAAAAACGATAACAACAAGCATAAACAATAAGAAACCTTTTTTTAATATACTACAGATTTTGTGGCTCAGTGTGTAATTACTCAGCATATCATGTCATATAATCAAGAACCTTAATCCATCAATGTGGCAAGTAGTATTAGTAGCTTGTTATATATTGTAGGATATTGTGGCTGAGTTTTTAGAGGGAGGGGGAGAATAAGGTTGATGGCTGTGGGTGTGCACGTGAGTGCAGGTGAGCTATGAGTTAATTAGCATTCAAGTGGGATCTGCTGCTGCAGAGATGTTTACCTGTTTAAAGGTGCCATTTCCTGTTGTCATAGGATGAAACATTTATGTGTCTGTGGTCTCATATAATCTCTGCAGGTACACATTCCTAGCTTCCTGCCAACCACAAAAACAAAGCTTTTTTCCACAACATTTGATCAGAAGCAAATATTGACTTATGCCAACCTTACACTAGAAGACTTTGACAGGACTCTGAAAAGACTTTTAAAAGACTGAAGTCTGACACCCTCTCACATCTAAAGACAATGTGTCATTAGTCACAGAGTTTTTAGTCACAGACTATGGTTTTGCAAAGAATGGGGATCTTGCAGGGTCACTATTTGCAAGACTGCAACTAGGTTCCATTTGAGATTATTTCCCATCAGGCTCCTGCATAAAAATAAAGTAACTGCCATTATTTAATTTGCTTCTCATTGGGTTTGGAGGACTGGAGTTTGCACAAGTCCCAAAACACATCCTTATTCAGCAAACTGAACCCTTCTTTGCCAGTTCCAGATTACAGAACACCTTTGCAATTTTTCATAACTGTATACATCCAATCGTTCCTCTGCAATAATACAGGTTACCTAAAACTTTTCACATACCACTCCGGTCTGTATTAAAATGGAACTTGAGATTAATTGTAATCTTTTTGGAAAATGACAAATATTTTAAAAAACGTAACCCAAGGGAACACGTTTAGTTTCACATGCTAAGCATAACATACAGAGCAGATTTGTTTTTTACTTTCTCTATACGTTACCCCCTTTTTTCACCCCTTTTTATTTTGGAATTGTCAGATACATGTTGCTTGTCTTACTGTGGCTCACCCCACCATGACAACCTCTGCACTATCGCAGGAGGCAGGAGTTCTGGATGTGGAGAATTCAATCATTCAGTACACATGACAAGACATGAGGAGTCCTATAAGTCAAATGGGGGAAAAAGAGGGAAAGAGTGGGGTACTATCTGCATAACCACACTAGCAGACACCAATTAGCAGAGGTAACAGAACTCAGTGATCTGATATCAAGGGAAAACAGAAAGGGGTCTTGGACTGTGCCCTGGGGGACTCCTGTAGAGAGACAGCAAGACGTCAAGACTGAGCCTCTCCAGATGACCTTGTATGACCATTTCAAGGGCAGGAGGAGAACTAGATTAGTACAGTATCTGAAATTGCAAGGCCCATCTGGGAGGTCATGGTGATCAGGGGTGTCATATGAGTTCCAGAAGAATTATAACTGAGTTGAGCCAGGCATCTGTTGTAGAGCGAAGGGCTTAAAAAACTGAGTGAAAAGCTAAGAAATGTCTAGCATGGAAATCAGGCAGGTTGATATCTAGGAGGTTGCTCTGTAAAAGAGGAATTGGACTATTTATACAGATATAGCATGTTCAGGTTTTTTTGAGAATGAATGGGGGGAAGAGACAAAATTATAAATTTTGGTAATAGAAGGGTCAAAGGTGGGTGCTTAGAAGAGGTGTGATGTGTGTCTGCATGAGGGCAGGAGGAGAACAACAACAGAGAGAAAGACATCAAAGAGGGATAAGATGAAAAATTATGAAAAAGAGGAGAAAGAGGATAGCTGCCAGAGAACATGTCATTGTTTGGTAAGGCAGGAGAAGATGGGAGACATCGGAGTTTGTGAGGTATAGGCAGCTGTGTGCTACACAGAAGTTGACCTGAAAAGTCTAGGAATGTCGATAACCTTGTCCTAACATCATTTGCAGCAAGGAGTGTAGCAGTGGGGCGGCAGTGTAGCATAGTGGTTAAGGGGCAGGACTTGCAACCCAAAAGTTGCAGGTTCGATTCCCCACTGGGGTGCTGCTGCTGTACCCTTGGGGAAGGTACTTAACCCACAGTTGCCTCAGTAAATATCCAGCAGTATAAATGGATAACATTGTAAAAAAACGTCTAACCCCGGTTCCCTGAGTGAGGGAACGAGACATTACCACGTATGGGGAAGCCCGACCTGGGCTTGACCAATCACGAAGTCACTCTGAAATCCCGTCGAATGGCTAGATAAGTGTCAGCAGCCGAATGGGGCCCCGCCCCCAATATAATAGCTGTGACTGACCTTATCACTTCCTCTTAGCCAACTGAGCGCTTAGTTAGGGCACAGTAAGGCAGAGGTTGGTGATGTCTCGTTCCCTCCCTCAGGGAACCGGGGTTACGTACGTAACCTAGACGTTCCCTTTCGGGGACATCACCACGTACTCGACATCACCACGTACGGGGAACGTATACAACAGCGCCTTACTGTGCAACCGAGTGAGAGCAAGGGTGAAAGTACACGAAAAAAACCCGGTCCCCCAATTACCGCTAGCACACACCCGTGCGATACATAAACAGGATGGGTAGCGAGAACCAGCCAGTCGCATGAGAAGCATGACAAGCAAACCGGCAAGAGCGTATCGAATGTAAGCTCATACACCGAGGTTATGTGCTGTCGCACCTAGGACGCCCTGAGCAACAGAGGGTCCCGTAAAAACAAACAAATGTGTGCAGTGAAGCCCAGCTTGCCGCGGTGCAGATGTCCTTCATTGACACCCCTTTAAATAAGGCCCATGAAGACGCGACCCCTCTAGTGAATTGATCACGCAGTCCTACTGGGGGTTCCATATCCACGCTCTTATATGCTAATACGATGGCCTCAACGATCCAATGAGCCAGCCGCTGCTTCGACAGAGCCCGGCCTCTCGCCTGGGGTCCGAAACACACAAACAGCTGATTACACTCACGCATGTCCTTCGTGCGATCCAAGTAGCATCGGAGAGCACGTATAGGACAAAGCATATGGAGCCTTTCGTCCTCGTCCGACCTGAACGGAGGAGGGGAGAAGGCAGTAAGCTCGATGATTTGATTACGAAAGGGGGTGGTGACAACCTTGTGAAAGCTGCATTAGGACGTAACACCACTTTGTCACCAGCCGCCGAAAACTACAAGCAGGATGGGTGGACTGAAAGTGCGTGTAAATCCCCCACCCGTTTCACCGAAGCTAATGCGAGGAGGAGGGCTGTTTTCAGTGAAACAGTTTTTAAATCTGCGGCATAGAGGGGCTCAAATGGTGCACCGGTTAACGCCCGCAGTACGACCAGTAGATCCCAAGAGGGGAACAGGCACTGCCTCGGGGCTCGTAATAGTCTTACTCCCTTCATAAAACGGGATGCGAGAGTGTGGCTCCCCGGTGGTGAACCGACCACCCCCAAGTGACAGGCTGAGATAGCAGCCAGATACACCTTTAGTGTGGAGGGCGTCCTGCCCCGGTCAAATAATTCCTGCAGAAATGTCAGAATAACCTCAATAGGGCATCGAATTGGGTCCTGATCCCAGGACGTACACCAATTCGCAAAAATACGGCACTTAATTGTGTACTGTGTTCGTGTTGAAGGGGCCCTAGCACATTGTATGGTAGAGACGACCGACGCAGGTAATCCCGAAGCCATCAGTGACCCAGAGCTGCCAGAGGTCTGGGCGTGGATGCCATAACCTCCCGTGCGCCTGTGTCAATAAATTGCGCCGGAGAGGGATTTCCCACGAAAATAACCACACTAGTAGAATTGACAGGTTGGACCTCTTGGACACAGTCAGCCACCGTGCCTTGTCTCAAACAGGGTGGAGTTTCATAGAATTGAACCATATTTGAAGGGGTCTCATACGGTCATATGTCGGAACCACGGAGCGAATGACACCAGTGAATTTCGGTGGGCGCCATGCAAATTGCAGAGCGTAGCCCACTGTGACTGTATTCAGTATCCACTGCGGCACTGCACATGCACGCCATGCTTCCGCACAGGCAGACAGCCGAGCTGTCTGGCTGTGTGGAAGACGGTTCAATGTTATATGGGGGGGGAGACAGTGAACGTCTATGTCGGGAACTAACTGCCCACTCATAATCATTATTCTGTGGGGATGAGGGCTTATGTTCACATGGCCCCGTGTGACTTGTGACAGGGGGACATGGGGAACAATGTGGTTGTGTGCTTGTGTAAACGTTATATCTCATGTAATTTTTACAGGAGAGTGATAACGTCTTTGCTTTTGTCCAGGGGGCAGTAGCGATGCTACACCGGAAAGCGGGGTTGAGGAAACCAGTGCGCCTAACTGCAGTGGAGTTTCTTTGGGTTCTCTCCCCCTCTTTCGACTCGCCTGAGGCCCGCGGCGCTCCTTTGCCTGGAGGGCGGCGTGGCTGCTCCTGGTCCGGCCGGAACCTGTTCCTGTTCCACCCTCTGCGCTCTGTTAGGTGGTGGGTAGGGGGAACCGGAGGCTTGAAATTGCCTGCGTCCTGCCTCTGTACTCTGTGCTCAGCAGAGAGTGAACGAGAAGCTGGACGTGGGGCGGGGTTGACCTTCCTCTCCAACTGTCTGCAAGGCATCATGGCAGTGAGAGCGGCTTGACTTCTCTGTTCGGCCTCGAATCTAGCCGTCATAATACCCACCGCTTGGCGTGGGTCGCATGGCGAGTGATAGCCACAGCTGCTGCCATAGCCCTTCCCGTAGCCTGAGCAGAGCACTTAGACAGTTAAGAGACAGGTCTGTAGCCCTGCGCAGCTCGACGATGTTCTCTGGGTCGAAATTGACAGCTAACTCGCTCAGCAGCTTGGTATCTCTGCAGCAGCGCTGCGGTGTTGATGGTATGCACTGCTTGTCCAGCTGCAAGGTATGCCTTCTCAGCGAGTGTAGCAGTCACTTTACACGGATTCTTAGGCAACGACGGCTTGCCTCCAAGCCTCACAGGGGAAGAGGGTGAGAGGTAAGCCGCGATAGTGTCTTCCACTGCAGGGAAAGCAAAGTAACCCAGCTCTGCAGCTTGGTTGACACACATGTAGGGAGCGAACCCCGGCACAGGTGAGCGAGCTGAATACAGGTGGCCCCAGGACTTCCTTACCTCCGCGTGTGCGTCAGGGAAGAAAGGAAGGGGACCGTGGGTGGTGGACGGGGGATCGTTGTAGAACTCCCCGTCCATCAGAGACTCTTCAGGAGCAGGGGGGTTGGGCAGAGGGGGGCCAAGTTTAACGGTGGCCCTGCTAGCCACTTCCTGCAGCTGTGCCCCGAGCAACTTATCACCTCTCTTCGGGGGGATAGAAGTGGGGGCGTCATATTCGGCCATAGAGAGCTCATCTCCCGAGGCCGATAAAGACACGCAGTCATCCTCCAAGTAGAACGACAGTCCATATTCGGAACTTGGGCCGGGAGGAGTATCATCCATGAAGACCACCAGTTCCGAGCTCGGGGGTCGAGCTTGCTTGGGGGCAGGGCGCGTCGGTGCCGAGGCGCCAGCTTGCCTGTGGTCTCCCTCGTCGACAGAGGCCTCAGGAAGGTCCTGCACAGCACCCCCTTGAGGGCTGGCGGCTTCTCCACTGGCGGACTCAGCCTCTTCACGGTCCAAGCGCACCAAACGACTGGAGAGTTCTGATGCTCATACGGGTGCAGTGGTTGCAGTTGGCGGAAACGTCGAGGGTGGCCACCGCGTGTTCTTGGCCCAGGCAGAACACGCACAGTCGGTGTGTCGCCTTTCGCCTTCCCCCGACCACAAGGGCAAACTTTGGACATATTCCTGTTCAGAGAAAAGATTTTAACAACAATTCTACTTAGCTACACAACAAGTTAGCTAGCTAGTTACATGTTATGTAAGTGACAACAGCCTGAATTTTTTCCTAGTCCTGGAAAGGAAATCAAACCCACTTTATGCTAAGAGGCCATAATACCTGTCTAGTTGCACTCTACCTGTACTGGTACTACTGTGCACATACTGTGGTGGCCAGGCAGGTAGAGCTGGTGGGACGTGGTTGAAATGCTGTCGTTTCATGGCCACATTCATCTTTAACCTGAAGGACATGTCTGCCACTTGACCAATTAGCAGAAGGAAGAAGCCAAGACTGTGAAGAAGCTAGTAACCAGCAAGATTAAAAAATTAAGGAGCTGGAGTAAGAGAACAACTTCTCCAGAGGTGAGGTTTGGTAAACTCTTACACAGGCAATGTTAAATTTTGCGGGGGGTTTTACTGGCAATTTTTCTTTTTACTGCAATAATTCTGATTTGGAGCCATTTTGGTGTGCACCACTCCATGTAACACACCCATCCACAACCTGGGTTGTTACAATACACAATGCAGATCTTGCACGTCATTCACACAAGCCATGAATAGGTTTCATGGTTGTAAATAGTATTTAATGATGAGTATGCACACAGTAGTTACACTGTGCCCATACAGTGAAAATACGCAGGTATTAGGAAGGCCCAGGATACCTCAGCATACGGGACAGACAAGCAGAGGGTGGAGGGGACTGACTGATAGAGGGTCAGGTTGGCAGTGTGCTTGAATTTAGCTCCATCTCTCTTTATGACTCTCAGGAGGAGGGCAAGAGGATCACAGTATCACTCCGTGCGAGTGGAAGCTAAGAGGCCTGGAGGAGTCCAATCATGTCAGCTTTAAGGAGAGAGGGCAGAGCAAGTCAACGCGAGATGACAGCACGGACTTGAAAGTGGATGTATTATGAGTTTGATGTGTTGCATTTCCCCATGAATGCAGAGTCAAGCCGCCTGCCTGCCTTGTGCACGAGAGGGGGCTGTAACAGGGGAGATTCAGGAGGCTGAGGGAGTAGAGCTGCAGGAGGAGCGCAGTAGCCAGGACGCTGATGACTCCGTGTGTGCTGAAGTTGCCAAGCAGCACCTGTGAAGTACCTTCCACTTGCAAGCAGGTAAGGGGAAACTCCAGCTGATGAGAGAAGCTGTTGGGCGGACCTGGCATGACAAAGATCAACATTGAGATTTGTAGGCTTTGTAACAGTAACAGAGTGGAAATCAAAGGAGAATGAGAGTG